TCAGCGCGGCCCAGCCGCGGGGCAGCCTGCCGCCGGTGCTGCCGGCCGTACCGCCCTGACACTGCATCCGCCCTCGCCCGATGCAGGCGACTTACCTTGGCCTGTATTGTGTGAGGGCCTACAGCGAAAAGACTACGCGGCTGGAGGTGTGCGCTCGCTCGCGTGCCGTTCACCCGCGGCGTCCCACCGCGGGCCGCTCAGTGACCCCCGACTTTCCCTTGCAGGCAGTGGACGACTTGTTGCGGTGTGGGATATGCTTTGATTACTTCAGCATCGCGATGATCATTCCGCAGTGTTCGCATAACTGTAAGTACGGCGTAAGGAGCACGACGACTTCTCGCGCTGGAAGTGCTTGTGTGTACACTTGTGCTCTTGCGGGACTCGTCCCGTCCTACTGTCTCGTGTACTAACTTCATGAGTACCGAGTTCGTAGAGGTCAACACAAAACTGTTGCTTCCTTTTCATGGTAAATATGTGCCTCCTGTCCTGCCAGTCACATATTTTGTGGAGTCAATTAATACATCGCTGTTGACTCGGTGGTTGCAGTTTAAATTCACTTGAGTTTTAATAAAAATTGCACAGAAACAGCAGTTTTAATAAAAATTGCTCGAGTTGGAACTAAGGTAAATGGGGCGTTTGTGGCAAGTCAATAACGGGGGGTGAGGTCATTCTTCCCTCTATCCTGTGAGTTTGTGGAATTTAGAATTAACGTATTTCATGTAAGTGCACCTTGCCATACATTCCAGGGAGTACAGGGGTGGCTGTGGTGGGAGTGTGTCTTGGCCCTGTGACTCTATTTAAGCCTACTGATCATTCAGTTGACAGATTAAGGCAGACAGGTAGGGCTGAAGAAGGTGTACTCAAATTTTGAGTGAATGGTTTGGTCTTCATACATCTTTCCCAGGAAACGCAAGACTGGAGAATGACCTTGTGGGCCCTATGGGCTGGCAAAATTCTCTTGCGTCTTAGCCAAGTGACAGAAAACTATTGAAAAATGTCCTCAAAAAAGAGTTTTCACCTTTAGAGTTTTGGAGACAAGTCATCATTTGACTATTTATTATTTACTGGCATGTAGAGCAGAGATTACTGATCCTTTATTTCCTTTAGAGAACATGTAGCTCTTCTACTCGTGGCTTAGCCAGCAAGGACGTTTGCCTCTGAGGAGCTCTTTTGGATGAAAGCTGTGAAGCAGCCAGCAACCTTTCCTCGTGCAGTTATGGTTGCAACCTTCTGATGACACGAACACATGTTGTCTGGATTAATGCGCTTAAATGCCACCTATTCCTACAATTCTTCATTTCAATATCTCTTATAACATCTTGAGGACAGAACAAAATGCAAAGCTGTATGGCAGAGAGCATTAAGTGTTAGGAGCTAGAATGTTCCGTGCTGCTCTGTCTGCCTCAGGCTGATATCTGCTGGAACGCGGTAGTGAAGTGGTTTGCTGAAAGTCAGATTAGGGGAAAGTACATTGCCTCTTCTCACACTGAAATAAATACTTATAATTGTTTTGTTCAGAAACTATAGCACTTCCTCTTCCTTACATGAAGGAGGACGTTGTAGTTTGGCAATGAAATTTAGTTTAGCTTGGCAAAACTATCACCATTGAAAACAGCGTAGTTATGGTGGGGAGCACTGGAAATTCTCTACAGTAGCTGGTGTACAGCCTGCCTGTGACACAGCTGGGTTCAGAGGCCCCTAGCTTCAAAAAGAATATGTCTTCTTTTTTCACAGATTACACGTTGAATTTCCCCCTGCAAATTGCAGCAAGCCTAAGTTTTCTACAATACATCAAGAGTTCTAGAAGTATTTTCTACTCAGTTGTCTCTGTGTAATCTCCTCAGTCCACTGAGATTGTACAATTGAAGCAAAAAGCCCTCTGCCATTAATGAGTAATTATTTGTGAATAGATGGAAATGAAATACATTTGCTTGCAAAATTTTTTTCTGTTTCTCTTTTTCTCAATGATCTATTACAGGGCTTCTAGACATCTCTATAATCTGTTTGCACCTATAGCCACTTAAAATTCCTCCTCTGCTTGTTCTTGGGTGACTGAGAGCATTCCATAGCTCTCGTGACAGTAGTTGTTTAACTTCCACAGTGCTTTGGATTGTATTTTTATTGACAGTATAGATGTGCCATTCATATTTCTTTCACATAATAAAAGCATCTGAAGATGGACATCTTCTGTAATACGGACATCTCACCAGGGGCAGAGTGAATTGTGGCCCTGAGGTTTCTTATACTTTCAGTCCAAGAGGACAAACTCAGTCCATCCAAGCTGAGGTGGTGTAAGATGTTATCACTGCCAGGTCTGCTCTTGCTGCCTGGTGGGCATGATCGCTGGCACAGGGTTGTTAAAACGTGCTGCTCTCCTGAGGAGCCCAGGCAGCTGGAGCCGGCCGGGGGATGGTGGCAGGCGGTGGTTGAGGGTGACTCAGCTCTGCGTTCTGCTGCCTCCGCCGTCAGGGCGCTGCCCTCCAGCAAGGGATGGAGCTGGTGCTGGGAGCAGCCGCTGGCCCCGGTGAATCAGCAGTGTGCCGAAGTCGGAGCCTTTATCCCAAGCAGAGCTCAGCGCGAGTGCAGCCACACAGCCCTGGCCTGGGGCCAGCGTAGCTTGGAAGGTGGGCAGGGGAACCTGGGTCTGTTTGACTTATTCGTATAGAAGTGGCTGTAGCTGTTGGAGGGAGCTCTTTTTTGTCATCCAGGATTTTCCTTTCTTTAAATCTGTATTGAAATGGCTACTATGCTTCCAGCTAAGCAGGCTTCAGAATTGCTTGCTCGTTTAAAAAAACACCTATGGTCTTCGGTGTGTGGTGTGTAAATTGTGGCATTACTGACTTTTCTTGTGCCAGGCTTGTTTTATTCCTCTTTCTTCTCACAACCTTGCTACTTCCAGTTTAAACTCAATAGAGATTGTTACTTGCTGGCAGTGACTTGTATACTTTCACTCTCTCATTGTCATTAAGCATCCAGTGATGGTTGTCAGATTAAATTCATACTTTGGGATTCTCTTCTGTATACTGAAACACAGTGCTGTGGCTGAGTCTTATAATTACTTTGGTAGATGTGGTTTTACAGGTGGGTTTGGTCTGTCAGTGCAGATGGAAGTGAACTTTGTGGCACCATTTAATTCTCGGTGTATGTGCCGTTCTCAGTAGACAGAAACCTATTATGCTACCCCAGGAATGGCAGGCTGAGACTTGAGCCATGGCGGGGCTATTTCTCCCGTAGGAAGAGGAGGCGAGTGGGAGAGAAGGGACTGGGGACAGAGAATTGTGAGGCCATTGTCTTCTCTGCATGGGACCAGAGCCAGCCCTAGGCACAAACGTTAAGACTAAGAGTTTGTGATTTATTATCCTTGAACATGCTTCAGCCACCCTGGCTATGAACAGTGATGGTTGCAAACATAGGTCAATCCCGTTGCTTACTGAAGGTGGCTGCTTGTCAGATGTTGGCAGGCTGGATCTATAAGTTGATTCGTATTCATTCAGTTAAAGTTCATTTCTCTTTTTTACGGATTCCTCCCCCCATATCATATCTTACTGTATAATGTAATTTCTGAGTATTTAGATGGATTTGTGTTTTTAAGTGTTGAATTAGTGCATTAATGCTCCTGCTGCTTTTCAGACTCCTTCACAGAGGGTCTCTGAAATATATCTGCTTAGGTAGCTGTTGCTGTGTGTTAAGTGCTGAGACTCTGACCAGTAGTGATCTAGTAAGTGAATGTCTGTTTTGCTGGAGAGTGATGAAACTTTTTATATCTTGAAGTGGTTATGAAAGCTCATAGATAAGTAGAGAAAGCAGAATCATTTCAGGAATTTACTGTGACAAAATGAAGCTTATGCCATATTTCACCAAAGAGTCTATTGAAGCATCCTGTGATGATGATACGACTTGCTTTTCCTGGGAAACATTTAAGCCATCTCTTACTTAGCATTCCAGTCCTGTTTCCCATCCTTTTTAGCCTTTTCCCTCAACAACAGGTTGGTATTGTTTTGGAAAGGGGAAGAAACACCTGGGAAAAAGAGGGGCTAGAGCATTTGTCTGGGGCTATGCGGGAAGGTGAAAGTGATCCAACATTAGTCATGTCAAAAAAAAAAAAAAAAGCGGTGGTGGCAGAGTGAGCAGTGCAAACACACTGCTTTTAGTGGTGGTAACAGACTAAGGTTTTCTTGTCTTGTGTTTAAGAAACAAAAGTAAGCATCTGCTTTTGACAGAGGGACTGAGATTAAATGTTGCAAGATGCTTGCATAAAATACAGGTATTTTTGCTACAATGGTAATCTTAATGCTATGGAAAAATGGTATATTTTCAATATTGGTGTATTGTGGAATAGTTTGCATATATTGTACAAGAAGAAAATATACTGGTAAGGACGTTGAACTGCATTTGGAAGAATGCCTGTTTAAAAATTACATATTTCCTTTTTCCAGATTGTTCCCTTTGTATACGCAAGTTTTTGTCCTACAAAACTCAGTGTCCAACATGCTGTGTGGTAAGTGTTTTTCTTTTCCTCAGCTTGTTTTTTGTTTGTTTTTTGGCAAATCTCAGGAGCTTTTCCCTTTGGACTATGCTAAATAATTAATTCTGGTCATATATTGCCACCTTTCCTTTTGGTGAGCAGCTCTTTGGGCAAAGTGTGGTGCTCTTACAACTGGAATTCTCCTGTTTCAGAGCTACTCTTCTGTCAGCACAGGCAGAAGTAGATGGAGCATCAAACGTGGGTTTTGGCTCACAGCTGTGTATACAGTCTGTTGTGAAACATTTAACATTGCCTCCTAGTTTGTTAAAATACACCAGCATTTAAAACATGAGTGCTGAAATTTAAGCACTTATATTTTCTGGGATTGAGTGGCCTCACTTCATCTTTTAAGGAAACTTTAGAAGTGCCCACAGACCACCTAGACCTAAAACTCACTGACTCTACTGTGTAGCCTTTTTGGGGATGAGAGGACTATGTTACGCACCAGGGAGAGGAGGCATTTGCCATGAGAATTAGGTTAAATGTGAAAAGCACTAGAGGCAGGTTTGGCCTGCTCTGCAGGTGGGTGATTATTACGATCTGACTTGAAGGCCTTTTTTGATTAAAGAATACAGAATGCAATTTATTCTAGGCCTTAATCTAACTTTTCATCTTAAGCCAATTGGGCTTTATTGAACTCCTAAAAATGGTAGGCTGCCTAAAAACAACGAATGGCGCTTCAGGAATATTGGCAAAATAGAAGTAATTTTCTTCTGTGTTTCTAAAGCATGAACCACACTAGACTTTTCAAGACTGGAAAACAGATCTATTTGTAGCTTTGCCAGTTTTTAAACATTCAAACAAGTGCAGACTACTTGATGTACTTTTCTGGGGAGTACATTTTACTACTGCCGCCTTAAAAATCACAGGTATTGATATGAGCAAGACCAGTAAAAGCTTTGTAAAAAAAGAAGAGCAGAGAGAGACAGCCAGAGAGATAAAAATCAGAAATTGTTTAAAAAGAATGTATTGAATGCACAAAGCCACCTCATAATTTGTGTTTTCATTCCATAATCACTCAAAAGATTAACATCTCCCTTCATCAGTTTTCATGCCTTGTTGCTTAAGGTTCTTATCACATTCATGGGATCCTTGTTTTGGTTTTCAAAATAATTAGAACCGGGCTACAATAAAGCATTGTTGGAGACTGGGTACACTGGATTTTGTTGCTTTAGCTTTATGCTTTATTTTTATCTATTACCTGTCATTTCCCAGACTTACAGTTCTCAGGCAGTTATTTTAGTTGGGGATATTTTTCAGGAAAAAATGTTTACACTTTGTGCATCTTCATTCACATAGCAATTTGGGGGGGGTGGTTGAGGCATAGATCCAAGAAACAAATTATTGATCACTTGAACATTTTCTGGGTACTTGCTGTTTTCACTGCATTTGAATGTTTAGGTTTTTCTCTCCTTTTCTTTCTTTCTTTTTTTAATAGGCAGTCTCGGAATCTGACCTGAAAAATAACCGGACATTAGATGAACTAGTAAAGAGCTTTAATTCTGCAAGGTATACTGTAATTTTATTAATACAATCTCTGGTTTGGCGGCTGGAAAGGCAGGTGTGACTTACTTTGTGTGACCAGGCCAGGAGTCCTTGTAGAGGAGCAGAGCGAGGAGCAGTGTGAGGACTGAGCAAAAAAAATTGTGGTGTGACAGAAGCGTTCTCAAAGACAAATGTTTACGCTTTCGGAAAAATCCTACAGTTTTCTGGCTGAAGGCTGCTGTCCGCTTAGGTGATGTGTTGGGGTTGCGTAAGCTCATTTTGGTTTTGCTTCTGGTTAGCTGCCATGTAAGTTACCGTCTCTTCCAACATGTAGGAAGTCAAGATGTGCCAGGATTCTATGGCGAAAATAATGGTAATAAAGATTTTCTTCTAAGATCCTTCCTATGTGTGCAGGGGAAATTCTGAACAGAAAGATTTTGTCCAGTGGTAATGGTCAACTTGCAAGAGAATTCTCTTGGTGAAGTCATTGAATGGGAAAAATGTAGGTATTGAGGGACCAAAAATGTGAGTTTTACTGGATAAGAAAAGTAATGGAGTATTGTGCTTTCACCTGGATTTCTTATCTACTTTTCTATTCACTTTTAATTAATTTTTGATCTCCTCATCTGTTTGAAAGACAAGAACAATGGAATAAGCATGACTTGGTAAAGTCTCATGTATTACTTCTCTGTTTTCTTTTGGTTAGAAGCAGCTCTGTGATTTGCTAGGTATTTTGTAGGTGTTCCTACGTCTATGGGAGACAGATACACTATCATCTTTTTCTCTGAAATTAACTTGGAGCTTGAAGTCAATGAGATTCTTCGCTTCATAAGTGATAGGGGGCATAGTTCAGTTTATGGCTTTGTTTCTTGAGAGAGTTTCTCTGTGATGAAGATCTTCTGTATGACCACTATTAGATTGAATTGATTTTGTTTGAAGAATTGAAGTTCTACAGTTCCGTTATTTTAGCTTGAACTCTGCCTTTAGTGTTTCCGTGATAAATGGATTACTTTTTTTTTTTTTTGGTAATGTCTAATTTTGTAGGGAACAAGTAGTGCTGACTTGGACCTATTATGATATTGAATCTTAAACGTTAATTTTTTTTGACTGCTTTAATGGATCAGTATAAATCTTACCAGTCAGAGTAGTTTAATAATCTTTCCTTTTGTGACTTGGAGTTCAATCAATTTCTCAACATAAAGTTAGATCAATAAGACAAAAACAGTAGCGTCTGTTCTGTACCGGGTGGGGGGGTGAGGTGGGAAAGAGCCAGTACAGGCTTCTTTCTAGGTCTCGGTAAGAAAGGCCTAACAACAAATGGCTTACTAAGATAACTGCTTTAATAAGACCGACTCATAAGAGGAATTTAGATAGTGGGTAAATCTTGTGTCACTCAGATGCTGGGCACCCCGCATTCGTGCCTCTCAGCCTGGGATGGCGTTTACTCTGTAGATGGTCCTGAGTTCGAGGGGAACGCTACTTGCCTGGAGAGTCTTATGTGATATGAGTATCATTAAAGCATAAAAGCATTGTTGGTTTCTGCCCTAGCGATGTTGGTACAGGACAAATCTTTTGTCTCCCCCCCTCCTTCCCCATCTGCTTTGTTTCCTTTTGGCCCTCCCCAAAACAAATCCAAAGTCCAGGCGTTGATTTTTGAAACCTGCTAAGCTCTTCAAGTCCATCCTGGCTTGACTTTGAGCCTCAGGTGGTTAAACGTTTATGAAAATTAGGCCTTAAATCTTTTCAGTATTTCACAAAATTCAAACACATTTCTTAAGTCAGGCCTGTAGGGACAGAAAATGTTAATGTTGGT